GATCTGACCATGACAAGGGCTCAATAACTATCTCCCCTAATACCAGATCATTTTGCCACTGGCCCGAGACAAAAATCAGATCCAGCGTGTGTCCACCCGTGTGAGTGGGGGCATGAATTAATTGGGTCAAGTCCAAGGCCGTCATGGATGCCAAGAACTCCTGAGCTGCCGCCGACGTCTCACCCACTGATGGCAGGTTTAGGCCTTTCGCCTTAAACTTTCCAAGAAACGGCATCACAAGCTGGCTTCCCACAAACACGTCGTGAAGCAGCCCCAGCCAGCTTGCGTGTACGCTTCTACGGGGAGGTTTCACTCGACCTGGTGTAACAAAAGGGTCGTGTGAAGGCAGTCGCCTTATCGGGACCCGGGTTTATATGCTGGGGGTGAAGTTCTTACCACGGATAGGCTTATCCTCCTTCTCCTCCTCTTTGGTTTTGCGCTGATCGGCCCCCAAATAATCCGGCATCGCGGCTTCCCCACACAGCAGGCCCGAACACCGAAACCCGAATTAAAGTGGGGGTTTTTTTCCCCTACGGCGCATGCGCAAATGCTACCGAACTAGCGGCTTGCATTACGCAGCACCTTGCTTTTCTTTCCTTCCGTGGCTCAGCGGAAACGCCTCGCCGGAAGTCGCCTGTGGGGGAAGCAAATAAAGGTGGGAACTACTCTATGATCCTCCCTCCCCCACAAACGCATACCGCATTACGCAGCACCTTGCTTTGCTTCCCTTCCGAGGCTCAGCGGAAACGCCCCGCCGGAAGTAGCGCGTGGGGGAAGCAAATGAGGGTCGGACCTACTCTATGATCCTTCCCTGGACCAGTGGTAGTCATAAAAATTGGGGGGAAACGGGATTTTCCCCCCGTTTTTTCTCCCAAACGGCTTTGGAAAAAACGGGGGGGGGGACTGGTTTTTCCCCCCAATTTTTCCGTTTTTTTTTTCCAAGGCCTTCCCGTCTCTAATCACGCTTGGAGAAATGGGAGACTGTTGTGTTTTGCTTTTATTTGGAGTATTAACACTTGGGGACGTGCATTCCCTGGAGAAGGATGTGGCAAAAACTGATAAATCTGAACTGAAATCTAATCCTGTAATGGGGAGGATGTGGGTGGATGTGATTGTGTGCATACACAGAGAGACCTAGATACCTGTATCTAGATACACAGACACAATTGTGTAGACATATACTAGTGTGTATGTGTGTTTATTTTGCTTTCGTTTGGGGTATTAACGCTTGGTGAAATAAAGATAAAACTTGATTTTCTCTTCATTTGAAAACCCAAATCCAACCCAGTTGAAGGGGGGGGACCCCAAAGGCCTCCTCTTCGTCATGCCATTCAATAATAGCAGAGTTGGAAGGGACGTAGTCCAGCCCCCCTGCTCAAGACCCTACCTATACCATTTCGGACAAGTGACTGTCCAGTCTCTTCTCGAAAACTTCCAGTGTTGGAGCATTCACAGCTTCTGGAGGCAAGGAGTTCCACTGGTTAATTGTTCTCACTGTCAGGAAATTCCTCCTTAGTTCCAGGTTGCTTCTCTCCTTGATTAGCTTCCATCCGTTGCTTCTTGTCCTGCCTTCAGGCGCTTTTTTCTTTCACTTTTTTTTCCCTTTTGTTTTTCCCCCCTCCATCTGGTCCCATTGAGACCCAAACTCTTCCAGTGGAGAAAGAGAGAGAGAGAGAGAGAGAGAAAGAAAGAGTATGTGAGAGAGAGAATGAGAGAGGTAAAAGAGAAAGAGAGAAAAGAGGGAGAATGAAAAGAGAAACTGAGAAAGAAGGAAAAAGAGACAGAGAGAAAGAAAGAAAAAAGGGAAGGAGAAAAAGAGAGAGCAAGAGAAAGAGAAGGAAAAGAGAAAGAAAGAAAAAAGAAAAAACAATGAGAAAAAGAAAGAGAAAGAAGGAAAAGAAGAGAGAAAGAAAAAAGGGAAGGAGAAAAAGAGAAAGAGAAGGAAAAGGGAGAAAGAAAAAGAAAGAGAAAAAAGGGAAGGAGAAAGAGCAAGAGAGAAGGAAAAGAGAAAGAGAGAAAGAAAAAACAGGAGAAAAAGAGAAAGAGAAAGAGAGAAGGAAAAGAGAAAGAGAAAGAAAAAGAGAGAGAAAGAAAGAGAAAGAAAAAAGGGAAGGAGAAAAAGAGCAAGGGAGAAGGAAAAGGGAGAAAGAAAAAGAAAGAGAAAAAAGGGAAGGAGAAAGAGAAAGAGCAAGAGAGAAGGAAAAGAGAAAGAGAAAGAAAAAACAGGAGAAAAAGAGAAAGAGAAAGAGAGAAGGAAAAGAGAAAGAGAAAGAAAAAGAGAGAGAAAGAAAGAGAAAGAAAAAAGGGAAGGAGAAAAAGAACAAGGGAGAAGGAAAAGGGAGAAAGAAAAAGAAAGAGAAAAAAGGGAAGGAGAAAGAGCAAGAGCAAGAGAGAAGGAAAAGAAAAAGAAAGAGAAAGGAAGAAAAAGAGAAAAAAGGGAAGGAGAAAAAAGAGAGAGAGAGAGAAGGAAAAGAGAGAGAAGCCCCGCCTTCCTGCCAAAGGCCCCTCCCCCTCCAAAAGCCCCTCCCCTCCCGCGCGACCTCACCTGCCCCCACGGCTCTTCCTCTCCCTGCGAGAGAAGCGAGGGGGGGGGCAGGAAGCGGCGCTGACCTGGCGACCCGGAAGCACTGCCCGGCCCTTCCACGCGCCGGCACCTGGCAACCCGCGAGCGAGGCCGAGCGATCCGGGCGGGCCGAGATGCTGCGCGGGGCGCCCGAGGGCCAGGCCACCGCCGTCGCCAGAGCCTTGTCGGCCGGTAGGTGCCGCCTCCGCCCGCCCGCCGGGCGCTCTCGGGCCGCCGGGAGACGCCCCGGGTGGCCTGGGCTTCGGGGGGCGGGAAGGGGCGGGGGTCTTCCGGGGAGGGGTCCCTGGGGCTGCCCGAGCCTCTCCTCCTGGCCGGGGAAGCTGCTTCCCCGCCTTCCCTCGTGGGGGCTGCCTGCCTGCCTGCCTGCTAGGGAGAGCTGCCCCTGTTGAATTACGGGCCCCGACAGTGGGGTAGCCTTTGGCCGGCCTTGTCTGGAGATGGATAGGAGACCATGAGGAGATCCATTGGGGAGAAGGGGGTGAGCAGCCCCCGCCCCACTGATCTCTATCTGTCTCTGTCTGTCTGTCTGTCTCTCTCTCTCTATATATATATATATCTATCTATCTCTATATCCCTATCTCTCTCTCTCTCATCCATTCTTTCTCCCTTATCCATCCTATCTCTCTCTCTAACTTATCCATCATGTATCTATCTATCTATCTATCATATCTATCTCCTATCTATCATCTATCTATCATCTACACTCTATCTATCTATCTATCTCTGTCTCTCTCTCTCATCCATTCTCTCTCTCTCCCTTATCCATCCTATCTCTCTAACTTATCCATCATTATCTATCTATCTATCTCCTATCTATCATCTGTCTATCATCTACTGTCTGTGTCTCTCTCTCTCTCATCCTCTCTCTCCCTTATCCATCCTATCTCTCTCTCTAACTTATCCATCATCTATCATATCTATCTATCTCCTATCTATCATCTACAGTCTGTCTATCTATCGCTGTCTCTCTCATCCATTCTCTCTCTCTCCCTTATCCATCCTATCTCTCTCTCTTATCCATCATTATCTATCATCTATCTATCATCTACAGTCTGTCTATCTCTCTCATCCATTCTCTCTCTCCCTTATCCATCCTATCTCTCTCTAACTTATCCATCATTATCTATCTATCTATCTATCTCCTATCTATCTATCTATCTATCTATCTATATCTACAGTCTGTCTATCTCTCTCTATCTCTCTCTCATCCATTCTCTCTCTCTCCCTTATCCATCCTATCTCTCTCTCTCTAACTTATCCATCATCTATCTATCTATCTATCTATCATATCTATCTATCTCGTATCTATCATCTATCTATCATCTACAGTCTGTCTATCTATCTATCTAAAATCTATCTATCTATTTTTATCAGTCTCAATCTGTCAGACATATATATATATCTGACACGCGCACACATCTTTGTTTACTTTATGTTGGCTTTACTCAGTTTTAATTCTCGTTTTA